CCCGGAAAAATGGGGGAAAAGGGGGGGCCCAAAGGGCCCCAGGGGGGGGGGAAAAAAAGGCCAAAAATTTTTTTTTTTTTTTTGGGGGAAAAAGAAAAAGGGCTCCAAAATTTTGGGGGGTTTTTTTGAGGGGGGGGAACGGGTCCTCCTTTTAAAAAGGGGGGGGGGTCAAAGGGCAAAATGTTCGGCAAACCAAAAAAGGGGTCCGCCCCCCCCCCCCCCCCCCCTCTCGGTCCTCTGGAGGACGCGTGGTCAATGGTATATCAACTAGGGCGTGCAACACATGAGTATGTCCCCCCTCTTATCTTGTCCTTTTTTATTCACTCTGTAGGCGGAGGTAGCGACGGCAGAGTTCGACGTCTCCGTGAAGGAGTTCTACGAGAGATTTGTCGCCGACGACGCCCCTTACAGTTTGCCGGACTTCCACATGAGCCGAGGCGACTGGGAGGTGAGTTTTTATTTTTTTTCTTCCTTGTATCTGATTCCTGCCCTTTTTCATGTTGAGGTCTGCTTATTTGTTTGCTTAGTATAGGGAGTGGCTTGGTTGGTTGTTCTGGGGATGAGAGGGCTTGGCGTGCAATCTCGCGTCGCGTTTTTTCCGTGGCCCAAGCACACGATCAGTGGGCGTGTGGATTCTGATGAACTTGAATGTGGCGAAACTTTCGGCAGGCACGACTAACGATACCACCTCCCGCCTTGCGTTGGTGCACGAAGCCTTTCACGACAACGAGGACGGTGATCACAACCGACGACGCTAAACGACGATTGTTGCGAACAGGTGGACGCTGGTGAATGGCAGCATACGACAAAGGAAGGAGAAGGAGGGGGAGGAGCCGCGGGTTCAACCAAGGGAGATGGGGGCGGCCTGCGGGGCCCCCGTCCCCCCGGAGGGGGAGGCGTAACTCGCGCCATCCGGTTTAAGACGCCCTTGCATGTGAGGCGAACGCCTCTGTAAAATCGCTTTGGGGGGAGGTAGACGTTACGTGCCTCTTGGTACAGGTGTGTGCGGGTCAGAGAGAACGGGGTGGAGTGTCACTTTGATTTTGTGTTTGTCGTTAGTGTCTTCCCCGCAAGGTCGGCCGACTCCATGTACTGTGTGAATCGATTACCCGAAACTTTCCCAATCGCGGCCCGTTCTACGCACCCTTTTTTGCTCGGTCGCTCTGTCGCACGTGTACAGTGCGATGTGCTCCTCTCCCGCTCCCTTTTGCTCAATCGCTCGTACTACTCCGAGCTATTTATTGCCGCTTGGAGGTTGCATTTGCAAAGGAGATGGGGTGGCCTTGATGGCCTTGATGGCCTTTGCCTGGTGCAGCAACGACAGCAGCAGCAACGATCTCGCGCTGTCAAACCAAATTCTTGTCTTGCACCTTCCTCTTCTGTCCGAAACTAAAGTAGTTGTCCCGTCTTAGTTCCTTCGGCGACAGCGATCACAACCCCCCCACCTCATCCCATCCCGCCCCCCCCCCCCCCCGGTTTTCAGATCACTTTTATGAGCAGCCCGGGACACGTGCGCACGCTGAAGCGGCAGCGGTCCCGCGTTTTCGGGGGCCAGGGCTGCATCGTCGAGACGCAAACCACGGTAGAGGACCGCATCCCGCTAAACGACAACTTCCACGTCGAAGACCGGTACGTGCGAAGTACCATGGTGCATCGATAAATTATGCGCGGATCACGTCTGTGTGGTTGGGTCTGTGGCATCTGATCGGGGGAATTTTGGGTGTGTGTTTGTATTTTTGATGTTGTTGCTGTTGTTGTTGATGTCTTCACACTTACAGAATGGTCTGATTTTTATGGTGCACCTTCTTGGTTATCGTTACTAGTCTTCAAGCGATTGAACTGAGGTTCCATCATGACAAGGTAACTCATTATTGAGGTACCAGTGGCAGACCACCATTGAGGTGTATCATCTTGCCAAATTGTGTGGTATGTGTGTGTTTTTCTTTTTGACATCGACCGTGCTATGTAGCCGGCTGGCCAAATGAAAAGACGTCAGTCTCAGTGCGGTGGAGAACACAAAATGCTTCTCTAGGCCATGATCTAGGTAGGATCCTTTGACCGAGTGTCGTGGGGGGGTCAACGCTACTCTCCGGATTCAAGACAGATACCCTACCAATAACGGAAGAAAACTCACGGTGTGTATGTGTGTGTGTGTGTGTTTTTTCCTTTCTACGGGGAAAAGGTGGATCATTCGACCAGCGGCGGACGACGAAGGTAGCGGCACCGGCGGCAAGCCGCGCTGCACCGCGACGGTGACCTGGCGGTGCGTGTGGCACAAGTTTACGGTGATCAAGGGGCTCATCGAGGGCAAGTGCCGCGCCGACGTGAAGTCGTTCAACATCGCATTCCTACAGGTGTGGTGACAAGAACCCTATGGACTGTGTGTGTGTCGTCGTCGCAGCGAGAAAAATAATACATGAAAAAAAATTCTATCATTTATTGTGTTTTTTTGTAGGATAAGCAAGCAATACTGAAGTCGTTCAACATCACCTTCCTACAGGTGTGGCTAAATAATTAAGTACTTAGAGAGCAACAGCAAATTAAAAAAATCGAGGGCAATAAGTAAACCAAGAAGTGGCAAGATTTTAATACCGGGAACAAAGTAGAGAGATTTCGCATAATTTACCATGGGTTTTAATTTTTTTTTGAGAATTTCCCCGAGAGGACCGAGGCTTGGCTACTGGTTGGCCTCGGTCGTGTGCCTCGAGGTGTGGAAAAATATGAAAATTTAAGAATATTCATGGTGGTATACATGATTTTTGAGAACTTCTCACGAGAACCGAGGATTCGTTGGTTGGCCTCCTCGTTGCTTGATTCGGGTCCTTTGGAACTGCTAAGCATACGAAGGACGTCATGGGGCCCGCGATATGGCTGCGGACAAACCGCCAAGAAGTGGCGTCGGCGTTTCAGTCGTTGGCGAACAAACGGCCTTCCAAATCGTAGTGGGTGGACGTTTCAGTCGTTGGCGGAAAAAACGGTCTTCCAAATCGTAGTGGGGGAGGATGACGTCTGGCGCTCTCCATAAGGCACATAGTGATATTTCCCACCAGGCGTTCGCCGTCCTTGACTCGATACGATGTGATGAAGGGGATGAGGATGGTACGGAGAGGAGGGGGGCGATCGATGCCAACGAGGAGATGCCGGA